CACCACCAGAGAACAGGACCACACCACAAGGCACAGCACTAGACAACGTCAGGGACCAGAGTTGCATCACCTCCAGGTCTCTCACCAGTCTCAGAACTGGGGGTGGATAGCCGGACCAGGAAGTCTGGAGCTCCCCCCTTCCCGGGGAGGGGGGAGCTGCACAGACAGTGGCATGGTTATGGTTGTGACGTCATGCTCGTCTTTAGTTTAGAGAGTTCTGTCCAACAGTTCGACTTTCAGTAGCAAATTTTAACCAGATAGTTTTTTTTTGGTGCGCCTACCTTTCTGGGTGCCTGACCCAGTCGATGGCACACATCGAATGCTTCCAACCACACGGGGTTTCTATAAACCATTGCTCCTCGTGCCTCTCTGAGGGGGCCAGGTTCTAGCTCACGGTTCTTCGGTAGGCCTGGAACTCAATTCGCTTGATGATGCCAGGGTCTAATATATTCATATCAGCCCGGATAGCATCGGGGCTGTTTCGGGGCGCCTCCAGGTATCCCCCCCCCCTCCCCCAAAAACTAGTGAATGGCCCAAGCCTGACCAGCAAAATTGGTCCTTTTTCCAGGCAGGAGTGAAATAGGGATCAACCATCCATTTTAAAGCAATTCCGGGTAGTTTCCCGGAATTGCCCGGAATCGCAATATCCCTGAGATTGTTGCATAATAAAGTCACATCAGTGGCAGAAAGTTCTGTTTGGCCTACTGGGGGACCAGAGCAAGAATCTGGCCCCCCTTTGAAAAGAAACACAGGAAGCAGATGAAAATCCAACACCTCACTACAAAAAGCCTCCAGAAAGTCAAAGAAGCATTACAGACAACTGTAGAGTTTACAAGAAAAATGCAGCCATGAAAACTGCCAAAAACTTTACAAATGAGTCACACAGAACAAAGGATTCTCTGAAACAATATTGAAACTTGGTAGTAATGATTACCACCACTTGGTGGTCTGGTCCCAGCTGGCTCCCCAAGTCAGCTCAGTTCCTGATGCCAATACTGTACCTTCACACCAGCTTGTAGCACGTCTGGTCATGCTAGCTCACAGGCAAGTTCCAAAGCTTTAAGCTAAGTGCTGGCCATTCTTGGACTTAGTTGTCCTGTGAGGGTCATTTGCCTTGTGTATTGTGTTTCCTGTTTTAGTGTAGGCTTCCCATGTATTTTTTTCCAACTTGTTAAGTGGGCTTGGCTCATTGGGAGATTCGGGCTGCATGTTATCAGGATTATCTTTCCTGTATGCCCACTAACACTGCCCTTGCACAGCCAGAGCTCCCCTTCTCTGGTGTGTTCGGGATTTTGCCCCTATGAGGCATATCCACCTGGTTGGGGTTTCACTTTTGGCTATTCAGGAATCTTGGACTCCTATGTTTGAGCTGTTGGTTGGGAACATTCTTTGATTGTGTTGGAGTGCACTGAGGTTTATGCGCAAGTTTACATGGCACGCCACAGTTGCTCCCGTATCATGGTGTTTAGGTTGCAGTTAGTGTCTGTTCCTCTGGTGAGTGGCCCCAGTGCCTGGGATGCCTGCTTGGTTATTTTCCTTGTGAACCATCCAGTTGTCTGTAGAGCTGCACTGTCTACCTGGAAGCATTTTCAGTTGAGGTGGTGGATTGTCACCTGCTTCCTGCACCTCTTATGTGGGGAGTCAGGATCTGTCTCTGGTCCCTGGTAGGCCAAACAAAATTGTTCATGACTGATGTGACTTTTTAGTATGAAGCAATCTCAAAAAGACAGCTTCAGGAAGCCACCTAGGCTCCTCAAGAAATTGAATTTTTATTATAAGTTTATAAAATGTAAACTCATTGGATGAGTTTAGATTTAAGAGGGACCTGGGTAGATGCTGGTTCGGTCGCGGGGATGTTGATTTATGGAACCTGTTGCTGAGTAACGTGGTGGTGGTGGGGTCCCTTGTTTGTTTCAAGTGTGGGTCAGACATGTATATGAGTGGGATTGGGTGGTTATAAATAGGAGCTGCCTCATATGGGCCAATAGACCTTCTGCAGTTACCTTTATTCTTATGTTCTTTTGTTCTTATTACATTTACTGCTGGATTTTCAAACTGGTGGAAGCCTGAGAAATGTATACACTACATAACCAATAAGTATTTGTTCATCAAGTTCAATACGCTTATTCTCTCCAGTGTGCAGGGGAGAGATTTTTCTCAACTCTTTGGTGAAAGACGTCCTCAAGCAGGGATCAGGGGATCAGTGATAGTTATTTTTAAATGTTAGTCATCAAGAGGAACTTAAGTATCCAAATTATTATTGCCAGTATATATTTTCTGTCTGAGGTTAATGTTGGACCACCACTGTGTGCAGGTAGGCTAGGACAGGCATGCAAGTTGCTCACAGGGGTTATCAACAACGTAAAATGGCAAGAGCAACGGCACAAGATCTAGAGGAGATCTTGCCAGATATAGGTCGTATCTGATCCAACCCGTTCTCGCAAATTTAATAAGTCAATATTGACTTATTAACTACGTGCATAGGTGATATTCTAAACATAATAGATACCCTTAAAAAGATTCATAGAAAACACCGACCTTACCTAACCTTGTTAGTATCTTAAGATAAGCATCTTATTGCTTCGTAATTACAATTATTACTTAACCTATACCTATTATAGGTTAGGTAATAATTGTAATTACGAAGCTATAAGATGCTTATCTTAAGATACTAACAAGGTTAGGTAAGGTCGGTGTTTTCTATGAATCTTTTTAAGGGTATCTATTATGTTAAGTATGTCACCTATGCACATATTTAATAAGTCAATATTGACTTATTAAATTTGCGAGAACGGGTTGATCTGATCTCAACCTGTTGGTGCAGAGAAATTCAGAGTAATCAGTTCATCATAAACAATTGAATTTGATAAGAGTTAGTATATAGGCAGGGGATCCTTTTATGCAACCAATTTGGTAATTTGCAATATGACAGAGAAATGATTTCCTGATGTGCTTAACATACGAATTCATTCACTAAATTAGAACACACAAGAAAATGTATATACACGTAGAAAATGGGGACGATTGTCTATACTTTAAGAGGTGCCATAGGTAAATCTACACATAGTATCGACTCTTACTGATGATACCCGGGTGACATAACCTAACTTAAAACTGTTGATATGATCACCTTGAGCAATATCATTTGCCTGAACACCACTGCTATATGTAAGGGACAATTTGGACCTCAAATAATGTTAAGGAAATTATTTGCATGCACATAAATCTGACACGAGTTGCAAATACTGTACGGTCATGTGTGTGTGTGTGCATGGTCAAGAACTGGCTCCATGACTCTGTGGGATGTCTTGCTCTGAATGGGTGCACCAGAGTCAAGGACATTCACCAAGCTCACTGGGCTGCACTTAGCACCATGAAATGTGAGTTAATAATGGGTGCACAAATGATTACGTTTACCTACTCAACATTCACAAAACACACTCATATGCGAGCTGCTTCTGAACCATCGATGACTAGGGGGTCGTCTCTACCATCACAACTCGTTTCTCACAGGATGCATCTGGAGTTAACACTTGTAGCTTTTAAGGTTGACGGTACTCAGGAGCTTAGGAGAACACACATCTTTTTCAACACAAAGCTTCGCCGAGAATGACAAGATGGAGCTCAACGCGAGCTAGCTTAAACTCGTGCCTCTTATCACTTAAGTTGGAAGATTTTGCATAGAACACTAATCAGAATGCAGTTTCATCCATAAATACACATCTGATTGGGTAAACTATGGGCTTCTCTTACATCGTTAGGAGTGGGAAGGCGGCTTGGCGAAGGCGAGGTCAGCCATGACGTTTTCTGGCTACCTACTTTAACCTACCTACTGGTCCATTTTAAGGCAAGGGCCAGGACCATCGGTCCATTTTGAGGCAAAATCAGGACAAAGATTGTCATACCTGGGGTGTACCTTGAGAGGGTTTCGGGAGTTCTTGTACTCCCCGAGCCCAGCCTGCGGGCCAGGCTTAACTTGGGATAACTTGGTCCAACAGGTTGTTGCTTGGAGCGGCCTGCAGGCCCATGTATCCACTACAGCCTGGTTGGTCCGACACTTCTTGCATGAACCTGTCCAAGTGCCTCTTGAATACATATATCTGCCTTCGTTCTGACAATATTTCTAATGCTTGCTAGGAGTGTTGAACAGCCGTGGACACCTGATATTAAGACTTCTTAACATCATGTTAAGAACCCCTGATATTCTCTGATAGTGCCTATGGCACCTCTACTCTTCACTGGTTCTATTCTGCATTTCCTTCCGTATCTTTTACTCCAGTATATTGTTATTCTAATGTGCAAATTAGGGACCTTTCAGTTCTTTTAGAGCAATGGGTGCCTACCTTTGCTAACCCTTATCTGAAAAACTGGGACCTGTAACACTAAGGTGACTTCAGGAACTCATACAAACAATACTACACCAGGCAAGTGACAAACAATACTACACCAGGCAAGTGACAAACAATACTACACCAGGCAAGTGACAAACAATACTACACCAGGCAAGTGACAAACAATACTACACCAGGCAAGTGACAAACAATACTACACCAGGCAAGTGACTGTAGAGCTCCACCGGGTACTGCTACCTGGCAATGGGCAGTTGTTACTAGCAGGTGAATGACCTAAATACTGAGTGCCTTGCTTTTATAATGGGTTACATTTGTCTTGCTATTGTCTGTTTTGTTCTCCTCTACCTTTTTTGGTGACTTTTTTGTTTTTGTTTTTTAGGATCTTCAGGAATCCCAGCTCCACTGCACTTCTGTGAGGGAGGGTCAGGGTTTGGCCTCTAGTTCCTGGTAGGCTTTTAATAATGCATATGGGCATGGTGTGACTGTGGGTGTGGAGCAAACCAGGCAGCTAAAAACAGAACCACCGTGGAGGCCTCCCAGAAAAGCTATTTTACTGTAGTGATCATAGAGTATGGCTGACACCAAGATTAAGAACATTTTGTACAAACTGCACCAATCATCACCTAATCTCACAACTTTTAAACCTACGTGATAATGAAGGTAGCAGGGAAGAGTACGAAGACCATGAGAGGCAGGAGATACAAATATGATGATCCCATTGCCGAGGTTGGAAGTAATCACTGGTATCTGATCTCAACAATGAATACTGCTAAAAAGACAAAAAAAAAGAATAGGTCAGAAAAACTGAACATGGTAATAGTTATTATACATTAAACAAAATACACACAACTAAAATTTAAAAAATTAAGTGCATCAAGTACTGTAGAATATCCAGTGCCTGAGCGGTACCTTGGTAGTTCCCCTTATGACTCGGTATTGACCCCTCAAAAACACTTATTTTGTTTACACAGGTAGGTACAGGAGTGGTCAATGTCTCACTCTTAGCATGCTGAAAGCTTTCTCTTCCCATGACTCATCTTAAACTTTACCTTTTTAGTTTTCCCTGGAACACAACTCACCAACTGGTTTATAACCAGGTCCCTAATTACTGCTGGATAAACAGGCATGAATGGTTAAGGATCAGTGCCCATTCGACCCTCCCTGCCCACTGCCAATTTATGAATCTTCTGTGTATCTTTGCAGCCTGCAGGGACAAGTATCAATGCAAACTGACTTGTGCCCTAATTAAAGGGCAGAAAGCTCAGTTGGTTATTGGTGCTTGAAAAGTTCAAAATTATCTTAGCAATTACAGTACAGCACAGTATTGTGAGGAATCATTTGACCAGAGCTTGAGTGCTTTTTAAGCATTTCTGTATGTCAACGTGAAAGGTTTCTTTTCTTGGTTGAATTGAGTAATGCTTCACTAAAGAACTAGTGAATAATTCCATTTCTCCCACCCTACCCATCAACATTAGTGTTCCACATGGCAGCATACTTGGCCCTCTCCTCTTTCTTGTTTACATTGATGACCATCCAAATGTCTCTCAACATCTCAAGTCAATTTCATTTGGGCTTGAGTGAAGGGCCTAGAAGGGAAAGGAGAAGCGTGCTAATGACACAACCTTCATTTTCTCCAGTCCAAACCCTCTTACTCTGAATGACTCAGTGAATACTGAACTAAATAAAGTTCATCTTTGGCTAACAAACTTACCCTTAACATTGATGAAACCTTCTATATTTTGTTGGGTAATAAATCCTCTGATCAAATTAATCTAAGAATAAACAATATCAAAATTAGTAACCATAAAAAGTAGACAGTAAATTCCTTGGTGTTCTCATCGATAATAAGCTGAATTTCCAGGGACACATTCAAAATATAGCTACAAAAGTTTCTAAAACAGTTGGCCTTTCTAAAATTAGATATTATGTACCCCGCCCTGCCCTGGTAAATACTCTATTACTCTCTCGCCTATCCTTATCTCAATTATAGTATCTATGCTTGGAGTTCTACTACTGGAGTTCAGGGAGCCGGTCGGCCGAGCGGACAGCACGCTGGACTTGTGATGCTGTGGTTCCGGGTACGATCCTGTGCGCCGGCGAGAAATAATGGGTAGAGTTTCTATCACCCTATGCCCCTGTTACCTAACCGTAAAATAGGTACCTGGGTGTTAGTCAGCTGTCACGGGCTGCTTCCTGGGAGTGGAGGTCTGGTCGAGGACCGGACCGCGAGGACACTAAAAGCCCCGAAATCATCTCAAGATAACCTCAAGATAACCCAAAATCATCTACATCCTTTAATTACTCAACATAAATCAGCTATTAGAACAATAACAAACTCTGGTCCCAGGCAGCGCACTCTGCCCCCTTACTTAAATCTTTGAATACTGTATATTAGATATTAAGTCACTCCACATGCTCTCAAAAGTACTCTAAATATTTAAAAGTTTGAACTGTAATGCTAATCCTAATCTTATATGCTTCCTAGAGGGTTGTAACAGAACCCATGGGCACCACACAGGAAACAAATATCTATTTGATATTCCATGAGTGCGACTTAACCAAACTAGAAATGCCCTGCAAATCAAGGGTACCAAAATGTGGAAAGACCTTCCCAATCACATCAAAGACTGCCCATCTCTCAACCAGTTTAACAGAAAAATTAATTACAGGGGTACCTCAGTTTTTGTAAATAATGTATTCCCAGAGACAGCACGAAAACCGAAACAAATTTTCCCGTAAGAAACAATGTAAATTGAATTAATCCGCTCCACACCCCCAAATATATTAACTAAAAAATACATTTTATACAGAATAATACTCTTAGATACCTTACCTTTATTGAGGACTTTTGATGGCGTATGGAAGACAGTGAGGAAGGGGGGAGGAGGAGAGGTGATGGTGTTTGGAAGGGGAGTACATACAGCAGTGATGACATTTCTGGGGTACTCTGTGTCTTACGTTTTGCATGCATACCACTAGGACCTGGTTGTGGCTCACTGCTTGCTTATATTACTAAGAATCTGTTTATAAAAACTTGTTTTTTCCCTATGTTTTAACACTTGTCTGTATTGAGACATTACACTGTCTCACAATGAATGACCTCTTGTTTTTCATCTATCGTCATCTTCACAACTATTTTCTTAGGTTGAATATTACCACTGACTTTCTTGGAACCCATGGCATGATATATAATAACTTTATGTTCAGAAACAAAAAAAGCACAAACAATGAAATTCTTCACTAAGAAGAATCATCACTTGGCAGGAGATACTGTACTGGTAAACTGAAGCGTCACGCTCGCAGTAGACCCATACGTGTATGAACAAACTCCGAGCACCGAGGCAAACAACGAGTACTGAATCGAATTTTTTTGAGAAATTGAGTACAAGTACCAAAAATAATGAGAACGGGGGGCATACGAGAATCGAGGTTCCATTGTACTACCTAATCAACTCCATGTGACCTACCTTACCTCTTAAATGTCAAACTATGTCTTGCTATTATCAACCATTAATGACTAATGACTAACTTGTAAAACAGCTGATTGCTGCCATGAATAACTTAAGAAAATTTTAGTCCAGCTGTTTATTTATTTAAAATTAATATTTGTTCCTCTGTTGCAATTGCTGCTGTTAATTCAACATGTAATTATTGTCATTCTTTCTTCTACTTCAGTTCATTCATGCTTTTGACCTCAAATAGTCTTAATTTAAGTCTTAGTTTTTAAGTTTTTCCCACATTTTGCCCAAAGCGCTGTGCATATTAGTGGCTTTAGGCAAAGTATATACTAGCTCTATCTAGAGATCCAACATTCTGTTTGTAACTCAATATGTATGTATGTACTTTTTACCTAATTCATTTAATATTTAATTTATTTATTATCAACGTCCCTGTGGCCTGGTCAGAGACTGGGCTCCTGGAACGTAGATCCTCAGAACCATCGACAGGTAAAACATTCCGTGCCACTTGGTTAGAGAACAAGACAATATAGGACACTTGTTCCAGGAAGGAGCAAAGTCACCCAGAAGCTTGACATACTCGCAGTGTCCAGCTGAGGTCAGTGACAAGATCAGAAAGAGCTACCAAAGGCACCTTGCTCAGAAGTAAACTATCTTGCAAGAGATGGTAAGGCATGGTTTTCTCTACATGAATGATACAGTACATCTTCTCTTGAATTTTTCCCCTTATTTGTGATAATTTGTAATACAATTTTATTATCATCATTACTCCTGTTTGTCATTTTACTTAACCCTTAAATTGCGCAACACGTCAAATGACGTGTTGAGTAACTTGCTATAAATTGTGCAGATGGAGTACCGCGCAAGATTTGAATGGCCAGCGGGTTAGAGGGGAGGCCCCCATACGCTGCCCAGGGGCTACAGTAAACAGCCGCCATTTTGTAAAAAATCCAGCTCGCGCTACCAATGTGTGGGAGGCCCTAGTTACCCAGCAGTCACCATGGTGAGCGCACGGCCGAACACCTCCCGGGCACACACCACACAATCACTTACGCAAGAGCAAATAACCAGTGAATTATTTTCTGATGGTGAGGAAAGTAATTTTGATGACTAACAATGATAAAGACTACACACAATTGACCGATGATAGTAACACAGACAGTGAAAATGAGTTAAAGCCTCCTCCCATGGCGAGGCCTACATGCTCACCTGTGCCTCCTCACCCACATTCAAGATGGCCACTGGCAAGTGGAAAAACAAAACAGAGCTTGATTTTGAGGGATTCAATGAAGAAAGCATTGATATTAGCAGTCTACATAACAAGTTGGTAAATTTAGATACTATAGTGAACTCTCATGTAGAAATAATTAGTAAATTGAAAGAAAGTAATGACCATTTGAATAGCAAAGTTTTATGTCTTGAGGGTTTAGTGAAAGACTTGTGCATGGATAAGAATCAATAGGAAACAAATTGCAAAGCCATGGAAGAAGAAAATAAACTCTTAAAAATAGCTTTGGAAGAAGTTAAAGTAAATTTAAACATAAATGACTACAATAGGTTAGGCAAGGAAATTCAACAGGAGAAACAGCTTTTGTCAGCACAGATGGAGGAAGTTACACAGGGAATAGAACAGTGCAAGAAAGATATGCAACTCACTTATGCACAAGTGGCCAAGGAGAAGGAAAAAATAGAAGCAGTAAAGGAAGTCAAACACTGCAGCAACCAAGATAAAACAAACATTAGGCTGGAAGTGAGAAAAGAATTGGCATCTAACCTGAAGTTGGTGCAAAACACAGTTGATCGGTGTAAGTCCCTGATCATTTTTGGCTGCAAAGAAAAGGCGATAACATCTAGGTCAGAAAGAGCTGTAGAAGAAGCTAAAGTAGTAGATAAAATTGTTGGCCTCGTGGAAGGTCTTACAACCATAGAGAATGTGTGCGACTACAGGAGAATAGGCAGGTATGTAAAAGGGAAAGATCGACCTTTGAGGATCACCCTAAACGATGCCAAACAGATGGAAGAAGTACTAAGGAATGCTAGAAAATTGCAAAGTGATGAGGATGGGAAAGGGTGGTCGTTAAGACGAGATCTTTCAAAAGAAGATAGAGAGAAGCTGAAACTGAACCTCGCCGAGGCAAAACATTTAAATGAGAGCAGGAATGAAGAAGAAATAAATTCTTTTTTCTACAAAGTGATAGGGGTAGGCAAACCAGTAAAGTGGTACATAAAGGCAAACCAACAAAATCAATAGAGAGGGGGGGAGTGAAGAATAAGGAGAGGGGGAACAAGTTCCTGAAGATTGCATACACCA